AGATGGCTACGAACCTGGACTATCACCCTATAAATGCAACGGTAAAAAATTGATATCATTCTCATATATTTCAGTTTGGTCATTCTGAGTTAAAACATTCTCGAGTTGACCTTAACTTGTCCTTAGTCATGCGTCTGCTTCATGTTACATTATCTTCGTGTCCAATTAGGATCAGTTGGGTCAGTATTATTATTTCCTATTAGTAAAAAACCGCTTTACATTTATTTGATTACTAAACTATTTTTAACTGACATATGTTAAAAAAATCAGGGTGTCTCTCTAGTCGATTTCGCGTGCCCATTGAAGTCAAAAGAGAACTTCAATTGCTGGCCGCTTGATGAGAACAATAAGGCAAATTATTACACGACTCGTGCAGTCAGAGGGCCAATAACTAAAATCAACCAATCAAAATGCTCTATTGCCGGTCAATATTCCCTCAGTATTGAACCGGGAACTGTCTCGAATGGTTCCGAATGGTACCGCACTTGTGTCCCTTTGAACTTCAGTCGTGTAATAAATCTCTTATTAACCAAGCTTGCTGGGGACCGTACTGGAAGAATATCGGCCCTAGGTCTTTTTTGTACGGACCTCGCTGCGCTCGGTCCGTACTGTCAAGACCTCGGGCCGATATTCTCCCAGTACGGCCCTCGCGCTTGGTTAATAAGATTTATATATCTCTAGTCATTCTAGACGCTGGACATAGAAAAAGAAGAAGAATCTATACCTGAGAAAATCGACGAAAAAGGAGTAAGCATCCCATTGAGATATTGAAAGTTGGTCACAAGGGTGTCTCTTCCATGGAAACTTAATCAATTATGGTTTGATTGCTGATTCCTTATAAGTTATCGTACATAGTGAAAATTTTCGGACGATCTTTTTGCTTGTTTGTTACAAGAAAAGATTATTTACGTTACTGAGTTCAATCTACAGATGTAAACGAGTGCATTACAGGAAACCACAAGTGCGAGGGAAAGAGTACCAACTGCAAAAACAATTTCGGAAGTTATGGTTGCAAGTGTAAAGATGGCTACGAACCTGGACTATCACCCTATAAATGCAACGGTAAAAAATTGATATCATTCTCATATATTTCAGTTTGGTCATTCTGAGTTAAAACATTCTCGAGTTGACCTTAACTTGTCCTTAGTCATGCGTCTGCTTCATGTTACATTATCTTCGTGTCCAATTAGGATCAGTTGGGTCAGTATTATTATTTCCTATTAGTAAAAAACCGCTTTACATTTATTTGATTACTAAACTATTTTTAACTGACATATGTTAAAAAAATCAGGGTGTCTCTCTAGTCGATTTCGCGTGCCCATTGAAGTCAAAAGAGAACTTCAATTGCTGGCCGCTTGATGAGAACAATAAGGCAAATTATTACACGACTCGTGCAGTCAGAGGGCCAATAACTAAAATCAACCAATCAAAATGCTCTATTGCCGGTCAATATTCTCTCAGTATTGAACCGGGAACTGTCTCGAATGGTTCCGAATGGTACCGCACTTGTGTCCCTTTGAACTTCAGTCGTGTAATAAATCTCTTATTAACCAAGCTTGCTGGGGACCGTACTGGAAGAATATCGGCCCTAGGTCTTTTTTGTACGGACCTCGCTGCGCTCGGTCCGTACTGTCAAGACCTCGGGCCGATATTCTCCCAGTACGGCCCTCGCGCTTGGTTAATAAGATTTATATATCTCTAGTCATTCTAGACGCTGGACATNTTCATAGCCAAACGATGCAACATTTCCATACCTCTGGGAATGGAGAACGGTCACATAAGCAACCAGTCCATCACAGCCAGTTCAAATTACCATAGATATCCGCCTTGGCACGCCCGACTCAATAGTGGAACCGCGGTAAGCTGGTACGCACTCCCCAGTGACCCAAATCCGTGGATTCAGGTTGATCTCGACACGCCTACTTGGTTGAAAGGAGTGGCGACTCAGGGCAAAAGGTTCTCCCTGTTTGTCAAAACATATAAGTTGGCATATTCCTCGGACGGGATTCATTGGAGTACCTATAAGAAGGCGATCGAAGAAAGGGAAATGGTGAGCACTTTGTATTTAATTGTTAATTGAACATCTTCATTCATTTCGATTGTTTAATATTTTTTTCCCTCATCCCACTTTTGTTCTTCGCATATTTAACCCTGTCTTCGGAAGAGGTCACGAATTCATTCCATGTTATTGCAATTTATTCCTTTGTTTGTTTCTAGGACGTTTTCCCTTTCCGTAAATCGATTTACACTATTCGGCTTTCCCTGTGCTGGTAAACTATTTGATATCTCTAATCACATCCTCACAGGAAGAGGAAAATAGTTACCTCCAAAGGGGCGCAAAGGAGGTACTTTAGCCAGAGAAATTAAGTTGGCAGTGTGCCATTTAAATCTTTCGGCTTTTGGGGAATATACAGAACTTTTCATAATCTACTCAGAGAGAAGCTTGAAATGGCAGCCAAAAGTCGTCTTATTATACAGCAGATTTAGTATGGAAACGCTGATTGGTCGAGAGAATTGAGTCAATATACAATACCGTGTAGAGTTGATACGATAACCCAATACCTGCAATCGATATTGGGTTTTCTTGTCGAGTCTGAAGTGTGCCTAGTTTCCAAGCCCCTCGACCGTGTAGTATTCTCAAACTTGTGCAAACTCAGAGATTGTTCAAAAGATGTATGATCAAATCATTTTTGAAATCAGTTTTTGCATCATATTATGAATTGTCAAACCTCGTATCTGTGTTCTCAGCCTCAGCCTTTGGCTTCGGTTGATAACTTAGACCTCGGCATTGATAGTCATGATGTCATGCTCAGCCTCATCCAGTAATTGTTCAAGAAGAGGGTGTTGTTAGATTGCTGATGCAATGTCGTTATACGAGTATATCACATTAGTTTAAGGACTATCAGTGCCGTTGTATCTATTCATCTATAATTTTTTCAAAATCAATAATCAATTGTCTTCATCGGACAGATATTTAAAGGAAACACAGACCCTTACAAAGTGGTAAAGGTTGAGCTTGATAACCCCGTTTATACCCGTTATGTCCGCTTGTATCCGAAGACATGGAGGCATGGAATAGCTGTAAAGATGGAGCTGTATGGTTGCCGGCCAGAATAAGCTACGTGTTTCGTTGGAAACGACATTCAGTAGATGTGCTAACGGATGTTTAAATATTATTGATCGTAGCGGTATTTCAATAAATGACAATATAGATAAAAGCACCACCGACTGTGTCTTGAATCCTCTTTTGTAGATAACCATCTCTAATGGTCAGTTTAGCCCTTTATAATGCTTTGTGTTTGTATGATTTTTTTACGAAGGGCACTTTCCCTTCTAATAATCAAAGTGGCTGTGAGCCACTCAACCCAGAAAGTGTATTACGAATCGAAAGAGTGTTGATGTTGGCAACTGAACCGAATTCGTTTGAATTAATTGGTCAATGGGTTCAGTCCTGGGAAAATTTTTTTTCTGTTTGAGTAATATGAAGAGCGTTTTGAGTTTTCGTTAGGGAAAAATGGGAAGTTTGGTCTTGTGCGCTGTTGTACTCTTTCGGCGAAGCTTC